CATCGATAGTGCCCACCAATAAGTGGCTCTTCAATCAGAATGCGTTACAGGAATACCTGCTCTGTTGCTGTCAAGAGAGAAGCGGTGGTCTAATTGACAAACCGGGCAAAAATCGTGATTATTATCACACCTGTTATACCTTATCTGGGCTTTCAATCGCGCAAAACACGCTCTCAAGTCAAGTGATTGTGGGCCCACAAGACAACCGAGTGGTATTCATTCAATTAACAAGTTAAATCAATTTATTGAATTAATTAAATGATAATTTTGATGTTTAGGTTCCGATAGTAGGGAATATATTGCAAGCCAATCTTAGCCAAGCAAAGCGTTTGGTTATAAAACGCCGGTTGTGCACTATGAGAAAGTATTCACTATAATTTGTAGTTAACTTGACTTAAATACCAGCTAATGAAGAATTTATAATTTTATAGCCAATCAATAATAATGTATTTATTGGTATTTTATTTCAATAAAATAACACTACAATAACAAGTCTTGTCTTAAATCTACAAAAACGTAATTTAAACTAAAGATCTGAACGACAACCAAATCCAGGTCCAGGAGGGGGTGATGTAAGTGATGTGAGACCTCCCGTGGGCTCACAGGCGAGTCGTCCGCTTTGGGCTGAGGGCCCGGCCTTTGGCTTTTTGCCGGCTTTCAGATCAGCTATAATTTGTTTGACATTTTCATTGGTTAGGTCTTCATAGTAGTCATCGTTGATCTGAATCATGGGTGCGTTAACACAGGCGCCCAAACACTCGACCTCAACAACTGTGAAGTCTTTATCGTCTTTCAGCAAATCTTTAGTGTATTCATAGACTTCTTGAGCGCCTCTAAGCATACACGGAGTGGTAGTGCAGACCTGAACGTGATATTTGCCTATAGGATAGACACCATTTGTTCATATAATGGGCCAAACAATGAGTACTTTGTAGACATACCGATAGGTTGTCTGTTAAACATGGTGTAAAAGGTGGCCACTTCGTAGACCCTCATGGCTGGCATCTCAAGATATTCCGCCACATAATTCATTGCCTTCAATGGGAGCCAACCGTATTGTCGTTGAGCCAAATCCAATAGCGGGATAACAGCTGCGGCTTTGAAGCCCGAAGGATATATAGAGACCAACGCTTCCGCTCGCTATACAGACAATACAATTATCACATAAACCATCAAAAGTGGTCACAAAAGCACACCTTTTTGTTTTCGGCGTTGAACTCAAACGGGGTCTTCGAGTCGGGATCAGCCTCTCTGTGGACAAACGAGGCCTCACTCAACGCACGGACACCACTGCGGCCGCAGAGGTATGTCTTGGGAAGCAATCTATTGAACGAATGGCTGATAAAT